CGTACCGCAACGCCCGCGACAAATGGGTGGCGCTGCTGCAGCAGGCCGGCCGTGAAGCCCCCGCGGAGGAGGAGATGCCGGAGGACGAGGAGATGGATGCGAACAACGAGGAGGCGCTGCGCGACGACGACGGCGAAGTTGACGAGGCGGCGGTGCGGCAGCTGCTACTGAGGATCGGCGTCGACACGGATGAGGCGCTGGCGAAGATATGGGAACAGAAGGATGAGGCGCTGCGCAACAAGTGGCGCGCCATCGCGGCAGCCAGACGGCGCGCAGAGGAGGAGGAGGAGGAAGGTGAGAGCGCCGCGCAGGACGACGACGAGGAGACGGCCGAGGAAGAGGAAGAGGAAGAGGAGGAGTGACACCACAGAGTCAGGTTGCGCAGGATGTACATAAAATGCCGCAAGAATAGCCGCCGCCGCCGCCGCCGCCGCCGCCAGGCGCCAAGAGATAAGGAGCGCGTGGGCGGGGGAAGGGGGGAGTGTATCTATAGATCCGAGATGGAAAACAACAACAACAACAACAATGCAGAAACAAAATACAGCAGCAAGAAGAACGTGAGAAGCGGGCTGGTGACTGAGAGACCAACGTGGTGGTGTTGGTGGTAATGGAGGGGAACACGGCGAGGCAGTGATGTGTGGGTACGAAAGGAGCGTGCGACAAAACGCGCGGCAGCTGCTGCGCGTCTCCATCTTCACTCCTTTTTCGCCCTTAACCGTCTGCCGTCGGCATCCCTCACAGGTGCACACATATGTACACCCTATGGTTGAGTAGAGACACACCAGAAGGAGAGATTTGGTGTGTGCGTGTGGGTGCGTCATTCTGTTTGTGCTTGTCTGCTTTATTTTCTCTCTCTATGTACCGACTGTCCGCCAACTCCACACACTGTGAGAGTTGCCAGCTCTGGAAGAAATCAGCCATGCGATTCCATTTCACAGGTTCAATCCTTCTGTTGCTGCTGCTGTTGTTGCCAAGGCACATTCACTCCTTGTTGTAAGTCATTTTCTTTCATTCCTCTTGCTTTGGTCACTGTTCGGGTTTTGAAGGCATCCTTTGTGCACATCACTGCAGAGGGAAGGGTGTAAACATACACAGTGTGCATTGCGGTTGTAATGCTGCGCCGGTGGTTGCTGCGCCAGCAGGCTCCCATGCTTGGATGCTGCAGCAGAAGCAGCTGCAGATGCATAGGCGAGTGGCAGCCGCGCACAAAACAGCGTCTGCGCTTCTCGAAAACTGCTTTGTTACAGGGACGCGCCCGCCACACTTCGCAGAAGGAGATAGCGGCTCTGCGGCAGCACGTCAATGAGGAGTACGGTGTGCAACAGCGCCAGCGCGCCCAACTGCGGCGTCAGTGCGGGGACGCGGCGGCCGCGTTGATCCGCGGCGCCTCACGGTCCCCGGCGTCTGCCTCAACGGACGCGATGGCCTCGGCGCGGTACTTACTGACACTGGAGGAGGCAGCACGCAAAGAAATGCGGCGCGGCAAGCGGGGACGAACGGCGATGTTCAGCAACCGCAAGAAGTGGGGCCAGTGAGGTGAGGTTGGATTGGAGGCTGCCAAGAGATAAGGGCGCAGGAGGGGAGGGGAGAGGGGGGTAGTATGGGTGAGCGCGAGGTGCTGCTCCTGCTGTTGTTGTCGCGTGTGTCGTCGCTGGGCGTTCCTCCATCTCTTTTGTTGTGTCTATCCGCGTACCGGCTTAACCAGCGAACATCAACCGCATTCTTCCGATCTCTCCCTGACAAAGACAAGGTCGGAGACGACGACAAACACAGACAGAGCAGGTGAATGCGCTTTTGCTCTCGTGTGAGCTCTGCCCATGCACGACAGTCGCTGCCGTTGCGGTGTAGCAGTCGTCTGCACTCTGCGGGGGCCACGTCCACGGACTCGCAGCGGCAGCAGCGTTACTATTCACTCGGCGAGTACCTGCAGCGTCTCCCACGCGGGTTTCGGGATGCACTGCTGTGGTCGCCAGCCCTGGCCACCGCGTACTTTATGTTTTACAAGCAGCCCGTGTACTATCTCCCCTCCAGGAGACGCAGACTTCTGCGCCGCCCCACCGATGACGTTACGGCTTCTGCTGGCGCTGCGGCTGACTCTGCTGCTGCGTCTGGCGGTGCGCAGGGAGACGGTGCCATTCCTGCTGTGCAGATTCAGCTCGATGATGCCGCTGGCAGTGTGGTGGAAGGCATGCTACTCCCCATGCTGGACGACGGCTCGACAGCTGCGGCTGCACCCTCGCCGCCGATTCCGCCGTTCATCACCGGCNCTGTGGCGCACGATGTGACACGACGGCGGCTGCGCGTTGAGCGCGACGTGGACACCGGCAGAGTGACTGGGTACGCCGCTGTGTGAAACTCATGGCCAACGAGAGACGGCTGCTGCAACGCAAACGCAACATCGTTACTATTCGACCCTCTGGCACAACCCCCCGTTTGCTTCCCGTTTGCTTCCCGTGTGTTTCTTTCTTGCTTTGGTGACTGCTTTGTGCCGTGTCACAGCAGCATTGCGCATACCTACACATTGAGTACAAGTCAGTCATGCACTTGTAGTCATCGCACACACCTCTGGCGCGTCGCTGCTAAGCGACAGTTCGGCTATGAACACGACATATGTGTGCCGTCGTAAGTCTGGCGTTATGCCTGCAGAGATGTGGGCAGTGACACCACCCCACACACTCCAGTGCTGCACCTTTCTGTGGCCTATTCAAGCACAACGGCATATATGGATGCATGCGTCTGCACACTAATAGGCAGTATCGGCATCTTGACGTCATTACACTCTGCTCACGGCGTCAATAACAGTAACACGTGGTCACACACACACACACACACACACACACACACACACACACACACACACACACACACA